CAACTGCACCGCGAGTCCGTCTGTGACGCCATGCCGTTGAAGCCGTACCGGCGCGATGCAGCTTCGGCAGCTACTTCCTAATTGCCCTCTATAAATGTGGCCCGGGTCCCGGGTTGCTTCTCCGCATTCTCGCCGGGTTGCAGTCCACTCGTCGTCAACAGCTCGGTGAGACCGTTGGACATCATGTATACCATTTCGAATATTTACGGTATGACTGGACTCCTAACAGTGACCGTCCTGCTCAAGCTAACTGAGATATGCAGTGCTGGCTGGCTTCGGCACCATCGGCGGTGCCTTGTTCGGCTTCGATGTCAGTTCCATGAGTGCCTGGATTGGCACGGATCAGTATCTGGAATACTTCAACTCTCCTGATTCCGACTTGCAGGGTGGTGTAAGTAATCAAGTCCTTCAAAGCGTGAAAATGGGCACAAATGACTGATCGTGAATCGCATCTTTTCTAGATCACCGCTTCCATGTCTGCTGGCTCCTTTGCCGGTGCTCTCGCTGCCGGCTTCATATCAGACCGGATTGGTCGTCGCTATTCCCTCATGCTGGCGTGTTGCATCTGGGTCATCGGTGCTGCCGTTCAGTGTAGTGCCCAAAACGTCGCTCACCTGGTTGCCGGGAGAGTGATCAGCGGTTTGTCCGGTACGGTTCTCAGCTATCTTTCTGGGATCACGATATGCTAACCGATGCTATAGTCGGCATTACATCCTCACAGGTTTGCGTCTATCTCGCCGAACTAGCACCCGCTCGTATCCGTGGCCGTATCGTCGGTATCCAGCAATGGGCTATTGAATGGGGTATGCTCATCATGTATTTGATCTCATACGGATGTGGCAAAGGTCTGGCTGGAGCGGCTTCTTTCCGAGTTTCGTGGGGTGTCCAGGGTATCCCAGCACTCATCCTCCTTGCCGCATTGCCCTTCTTCCCTGAATCGCCTCGTTGGCTGGCAAGTAAAGAGCGGTGGGAAGAGGCTTTGGATACTTTGGCTCTACTGCATGCCAAGGGCGACCGCAACGATCCCGTGGTCCAAGTGGAATACGAAGAAGTGCAGGAAGCAGCACGCATCGCCCAGGAGGCTAAGGATGTTTCATTCCTTTCCCTGTTCGGACCAAAGATTTGGAAACGTACCGTTTGTGGTGTCAGTGCTCAGGTCTGGCAGCAGTTGCTTGGGGGCAATGTTGCGATGTATTACGTCGTGTATATCTTCAACATGGCTGGCATGGTAAGTCTGCCTTGTTCTTCAGGCAGATGTCCTTGAAACCGAACTGACAGTTTTTTTTAGTCTGGAAACACGACTCTGTACTCGTCAGCCATTCAGTACGTGATCTTCTTGGTCACAACAGGTTCTATCCTGCCATTTGTTGATCGGATCGGTCGACGACTTTTGCTTCTCACTGGATCCGTCCTGTGCATGGCCTGCCACTTCGCTATTGCTGGTCTTATGGCTTCACGTGGTCATCATGTTGACTCTGTCGATGGTAATTCGAACCTGAAGTGGTCAATTACAGGACCGCCCGGCAAAGGTGTCATTGCTTGCTCATACATCTTCGTTGCTGTTTATGGGTTCACCTGGGTATGTAGCTGTCCAGTCTCCCGAGATCATCCAAAATCGGCTTCAGCTAACGTGACCTAATGTAGGCCCCTGTGGCATGGATCTACGCATCCGAAGTCTTCCCTCTTAAGTACCGTGCAAAGGGTGTCGGTCTCTCGGCTGCGGGTAACTGGATCTTCAACTTCGCGCTGGCGTACTTTGTGGCACCTGCTTTCACCAACATCCAGTGGAAGACCTATATTATCTTCGGTGTCTTCTGCACTGTGATGACGTTCCATGTGTTCTTCTTCTACCCGGAGACTGCTCGACGGTCGCTTGAAGACATTGACTTGATGTTTGAGACCGATATGAAGCCCTGGAAAACACACCAGATCCATGACCGCTTCGGCGAAGAAATTGAGCGACACAAGCACAAGGACATGGTTGACCAGGAGAAGGGAGTTGTGTCGACTCATGATGAGATGGCGTGATGAACTGTATTTGTTTAGATGAGTTAGCGATAATATATGAGAACAGTGAACGATTGTATGGAAGCAGAGTGGAATGTAATCCATAGTGAATCAAGTATGCTGGGGCGAAGTAGTGGCTGAACATTATGATCCAGTGTAGGTGATCTGAGGCCAGCTAATTGAAATCAATCAACGAGAATTTAGGCCAATGCGACGTGCTCTTGCACCAATCGGGTGAATCGGTCCTCCCCAATATAGTACTTGTGTTGTAAGTCAGTACCTCGTCATCCATGACAATATGGACTGTCTACTCATCTGCATTTGCTACATTTTGACGTCTATACTCTTCACTCATCATGTGGGTACTATCTACAAGCGCTCGTCGATCTGGTGTCTATTTTGGAGAATATAAGCATACTACTACGAAGTAGTACTACTCGTACTAACAATGAACATATAGTCTCTTCCAGTACGAAGATCAAGGGTGGACGGCGACAAACCACCGATCAACGATTTTGACGATCCAGAGATCTTGATGCAGCTATCAAACCAGGGTCCACGGTGTCACATACTATTTCCTCTTCTGGCCAAATCGCGTCTCATGGAGCCATCATTATAACCGATTGGTGGAAAATTAAGAATTCGCATTATATGTATAAGTCAGGTGACGCATTCCTACTTATCTCAGCTGTGACGTACTTGTGCACAATGAGTGGACGGCAAGCGCAAATCTACCATGACGTCATCCCAGCTCCCCTCGACGCGTCCCTCGCCATCTGTCACTTGATCACCGCCACCGATAGAGGAACCACGTCTGCAATCTATATGCCAGAACCTGATATCTACTGTGTATAGACACTGCGATGCATTTGCGCTTGGCAAAACCACATACGTCATGCCGTCCCTCATCCAGACCACCTCACCACACATATATACTTTGAGCGGAGCATCGAGGAGCACCATGTTCGGAACCATTCTCCATCAACCGTGACTTCTCTGGAACAAACCTCGTTCATCCTGAGTTGAACAGTACCTTTTAAACTATCAAAATGGACTCCATCAAGCAAACCATGGGTACGACGCCCAACCACACCGAAGAAGAACAGCGCAAGCTATATGACAACCTTCCCGCCGAGCAACGCGATAAGCAGTCATTCACGGAATGGGTGAAAGAAGCATACAACGAGCAATACGAGAAGTGGATGCCTTGGCTGGAGGATCAATATCTTAAGTGGTTCGGCAAAGGTGATAACAAGGCTTCCTACGTGACCAAGGGTGCGCTAGAATCATTGCTATTTTCTGCCCTTCATGCGTATGCTGACTATTGCGACCAGACAACCTCTCTAAGACCAAGGTCACCGGCGTTAAGCAAGTCGATCAGATCCAAGACGACGTAAATAATCTCGTTGGAAACCAGTTGGGCGAAAACGGTCTGCTGGCCCCAGTTGGTAACATGGTTTCAAAGGAGGGCTTCAATCGCGCTGAGCGTGGAGGGAAGGATGAAAATGGCTCTTATGGAGGCCCTCTTGGAGGGGCAACCGATCCCATTGTCGACAACTCCAAGAAGGCTGGCCAGGGACTGGCCACTGGGATACAGTCGGCTGGGTCCTCTGTTGCTAGCGGAGCCAAGAGTTGGGGGAGCGCGATCCCAGGATTTGGCAGCAAGTGAGATGGTACTTGAGCATGTGTCTGCCTGGTAATATGATATGATATGATGGTATGATTCAACGGCCTGCTATAACTTCTTTCGGTTTTTCTGCTTTCTTCATGCATCCAAGGATTTGCCATATCTTTTTAATCTGATTGTATAATTAAATATCCTGTATGTCTTAGCTTCCGGACCAGTACCTCGTCCTTCTCGAATATACATGATGCCGGTTAATGAAGCCCCAAACTTTGGTGGCATTGATCCAATGTAAGGAGATACCAGTGTACTTTCTCGACAGTCAACCAAGATAAATTCGCGACCTTCACCTCAAAAAGCATTAAACAGAAACAGATAATTCTCATAGTCAATCATGCAGTAGAAGCAACACAGCCGGGTAAGACTCGCATAATGGTCTTAGTGCAAGTCATCATACACCAGAATGAATCTCGCCCTTACAAACAATATCTAGGCCTTTAACTTCGTCACAGACCAGTCGACTTCATCTAGAACACAAAGAATATAAGCAAATTCATACAAGATAATTCCCAAAACTCGACGAGGAGCGGCGCCAGTACGCCGTAATCGAAGGCAGAATCAGTACTACCTCGGGGGCGGCGAGTACACCGCTTCCCTGACCGCCAGAAGCGGCAGAACCTAGCGAACCTCGATCAAAAAGCCTCGGATTTTGCGGATTTTGGAAACGTACAGTCCCAGAAAAAGGAGCTGGGAATCTGTATAAAAAGGCGGTGGCAGAATACCACTATGGCCTCAGGCAACGATGTGCATATCTCATCGCTGAGATAACTAATTCTGATCCATGACATTCTTCCACTTCACATAGAACGTTCTGTATCCCACCGTGATATCACCTCCTTTACGCATTACAGTGATTATGATGAAATCGACTTCACCACAAACCCAAATCTGCGGGATAATGCTATTGTAGCGAAGCTTGAGCTTACTCGGATTGAGACGGCCATACTGCGGGCATTTTGTGACCCACTTTATCCACATCTTGAAGACACAGTTCTGGATAACCAGGGGCAGGAGAAGGTTTCATGATATTGGCTTTGAGGGAATGGTGATGGTGGCGATGAGGGATGCGTCATGAGGTTGCTGGCCTTCTTGGGAACTTGAACGTCATTTACGGGCAGTTAGTGGTAAGGGGACAGTATTTAGATGGGGAGGTTGGTCGCTGTGGTTGTGATGAGATATACAATCATGAAATGATGACCTGAGTTATTTGTCGCAATATACATAGAATTTTCGAAGTGTCGAAGTGAAGGTGAGTCTCAACACTTCCTCAATCTATGCATATCTAACATCTACAGCAACAACCATCAAAATGCCGCACACCAAAACAGATACCGCATTCCGATACCCCCAGAACGAAGACCAGAGCCGTCGTCTTCGCAACACCACCCAGGATCAAAGAGCCGCTCAGAGGCAGCAATACTCATCGGAGTCAGCCACTGCGGCATCCCTGGCAGCCGATCCAACCTCCAACTGGGGTCCGGAGGAATTCTTCGAGACCACCGTCGATGAGTACGGTCAACCGGTCACTGACCAGTGGGCGTTCACGGATGGTGCGAGGATGAGTAGAGGCGTCTCTGGTCATGATGAGGCTGATGCGTTTGAGGCTGCAATGATAAGTTCGATTGAATCCAGTTAAATTCAGGCTGTATGGGCAGAATGGTGATCTATCCTGAGGCATATTATCGGTAATTTAATAATGCTTAAAGTGAATATGAAAATCCCTTTATGCTAAAGATTCCATATAACATTATATCAAGAGCGTCGAGAGTTTCCACGTATGTAGCCGTAGTAGTTGGCTAGCGTTAGACCTGCTTATCAACTTCTCCGGCTTGATAGTGGCCGGCCCGCCATCCGTGCTGAAGTGACAAGATTTGGCCCGTAATTAAACCCTTAATGGTAAATATATGATTTACAATCCATATGATGAGGAGCATGAGGGTCAAAGCGGTTGACCACACCTTGAATGCAGGCGAGTCCATGACTTTGCCAAGCTGGACGGCGGCATTGGTGTAGACACCCTGCAACATCCTGTAAGATAATGATGAATCTCAAAAGGTAAATGTACACTCACCCACGGAAATACCAGAGACCATGCTGAAAGTGAATATTGTATCCTCCGCCAACCCCCTGGTTGCTTGATAGCCGTATGCAGAATGCTGATGATGGCGTAGCCCCACCAGAAGGTTCCGTAGCCCCAAGACAACAAACCAGCCAATTGGCTGGCATAGCCAATTGGGATCGCTGCTTCACCGGTCAAGAATGACCCCCGATTGTATTCTGCAAATGCCCCAGATCGTACAACCTGCCCGAGAATCAGCAGGGCAAAACTGCCCTGTCCAAACGGGCCACAGAGAATCATATCTTGATAGACCTGTTCCATGGGCATGAATTCGCGCTCGAAGAGACGAGCAATGAAGACATCCGCAAAGGACATTGCCAACGGAATACCGACACCGACTTCAAGGTATGCTACAATGATGGTCGGGACTTGCAGCCGAGCGCCAATTCCACTATACTCACATACGACACCTCCGCCAGCGGCGGAGGTTAGCGCACATATCAGTGGAAGCAAAACGGAAGGTACGACAGCCTTGATTCCGGGAGCTTGTAGCTTCACGAAAATGTACGGTATTCCCATAACAGCGGTTAGAGCCATAGCCGTGTTGATCCACCACAGGACGTATGAGGCCATTGGCCATCCTGCACCCCATTGCTGGGCAACGGCCAAGGCGATCATTTGAATGATTGTTGTGAACGTTATAGAGACGCTAGTGAGACATGATACCTCCACCATGCTTGCCCGGAGTGCTCGTGCGACGTGCCGTGGATACATGAAGATTCGCGCAAGGTAGACGGATACGCATAGTGCCAGGAGCGCGATTGTATACACCCAAACTATCACAGAGATAATACGCAGACCATGGAATTGATAGTCCAGTTGATGAAGAATAATGGCTATTACACCAGTACCTTGTGGTATCAGAAACCATTGGGAGGAAAAGTTCCATATTGCGATGCAGATTGGCGACGTTGGTACTGGCGTGTCATGGGCTTCATGATCTGGCATTTCGCAGAGCAATCCAGAGCCAATGCCCTGTAAAGCAAAGAAGTGGGTTTTGGTAAGATTGCTTTTAAGAAAGAACAAATTCAAATCTCAGCCTATGCTGACCTGAATGACATCATGATCCCTTTGACCGTGTAGCAGTAGATACATGCGGGTGATCGCGAGATTTAGTTCCGATTGACAGCAGAAAGCCTGTCCGAAAGAACAGGCAAGGGGATAAGATCTAGAACGGGGCTGCTACTACTTTGTCCAACCTTTGTCAGTTCTAAATGAGGCCGTAGTGACGTAACTCGGCGCAAGAAAATGGGTGGTAATTGTCCGCTGGGAGATTCCATGGAACTGGCGCCGTTCAACTTCCCGATAACTGTACCGAATACTCATATCCGGATACAGGCGACTGATAGCCGTGGTTCCAGTCAGACGTAGCACAGCGATTCTGTTCTCCCTCTAGCTATGGGAGTGCTTGTTGCACTGGGAAGGGCCCTCCTAGTCGTGTATCACAGCAACTATCACTTGCGAGACAAGTATCAGATTCTTGCGCGGACATCGTCTCTAGCAATAGCTTGATGGTTTCGGAATGAGAATCGCCAGGCTAGATCACCTGAAGTATCGACTGGGGCATGCGGACAGGTCTGGCCTTTAATCCGATCTAGAAGCTCATTGTTTAGCAAGACCGAGGGCGATAGCGAACCGTAAGATTGTATCCGTTGAGCTACATTGTCAGAACAGACATTCAGGGTCTTGATGAGTGCCATGGGGAACCAAAGCTCCCCAGTGACGCTGATCAAAGGACCCGCTCGGGTCGGGAAAGGAATGGCGCCCTGTGCTTGCCGTTGGATTCCACGGAACGACTCCGATTGACTCCACGAGATTTGCCAACCGATTGCCAGTGGTACGAAGAAAGAAAATCAGTTTATCATGCAGAAGCAGGATGGCATTTGTGTCGGAATGGTGGTGACTCCAGGTGTTGCCGAGAAGATGGAAAGTGAGGCTGCACTAATCCTAATCGGGCCGATAATGACGCCTTTCTCGATGAGGCAGGTCAGGTGGGTGTCACGGGTCTATCTTATCGCTTATCATCTGACCGGTTCCTGGCAGGAAGCTCCCCTTCCCAGCTCCCCGTATTTATTCCTCCTCCCCAAGCTGTTGTTGTTTGATCTTCTCCCTGTCTCGCCTCCTCCCTAGCCTCCATTCGACGGGCTCTTCCATCGTACTTGACGAGCCATCTGTCTGGTATTATTCTTCATATATCATTCTTATATAGTGCTTTGTTCCACTCACCATGCGCGTCGACTCCGCGGCGCTACATCTGGCCCCAGTGCTCCTGGGCCAGGTCGGTGCTCTACAATTACCCTTATTTCAAGAGTCCAATTCAAAGTGGCCGTCGACAAACGCAGGTGAAAAGCCACTGATTAGCTCTCCGCTGCTTCAGGAGCAGGTCAAGGCGGAGAATCTGCTGGACAGGGCCCGGCAGCTTTACAAGATTGCGGAGCTTGGGGAAGACGAATATAACCATCCCACTCGCGTCATCGGCAGCAAAGGTACCACAGACCTCTTCCCATATCCTCGCAATGATCACAAACAGTTGACGATTCCTTTCTCCTAGGTCATCTTGGCACGCTCGACTACATATACTCCGCCCTTACCGACCTCGGTGATTATTATACTGTCGTCAATCAGTCCTTCCCTGCCGTGAGCGGTAATGTCTTCGAGTCTCGCCTTGTCCTTGGTCACGATGTTCCCAAGTCGGCTACACCAATGGGTCTCACCCCCCCAACGAAGAATAAGGAGCCGGTATATGGCCCCCTGATTGCTGTATCTAACCTCGGGTGTGAGGCCTCGGACTACCCTTCCAACTTGGAAGGCGCCGTTGCATTTATCAGTCGGGGAAGCTGTCCGTTTGGGACAAAGTCTCAATTGGCTGGTAAAGCGGGAGCCGTCGCTGCTGTCATCTACAACAACGAGCGGGGTGACCTGAGCGGAACTCTAGGAAACCCAACACCCGATCATGTTGCTACCTTTGGTATCTCCGACGCGGATGCTGCCCCGGTCCTGGAGAAGCTGAAGAAAGGCGAGAAGGTCGACGCTATCGCCTACATGGATGCGATCGTCGAGACCATCCACACCACCAACATCATCGCGCAGACCACGGATGGTGACCCTGACAACTGTGTAATGCTGGGTGGCCACAGTGACAGTGTGGCCGAGGGCCCGGGTATCAATGATGATGGCTCTGGTACTCTGACTCTTTTGGAACTTGCCACATTGCTCACCCAATTCCGTGTCAACAACTGTGTGCGATTTGCTTGGTGGGCCGCCGAGGAGGAGGGCCTTCTCGGATCTGACTACTATGTGTCCGTTCTCACCCCGGAAGAGAACCGCAAGATCCGCTTGTTCATGGACTACGACATGCTCGGATCGCCCAACTTTGCGTACCAAGTGTACAATGCCACTAACGCTGTGAACCCCGAGGGATCCGAGGAGCTTCGTGATCTCTACACTGAGTTTTACGATGCTCATGGGTTCAACTACACGTACATTCCCTTCGATGGACGCAGCGACTATGATGCCTTCATCCGGCATGGTATTCCCGGTGGTGGGATTGCCACGGGAGCTGAGGGAATCAAGACGGCCGAAGAAGCGGAAATGTTTGGCGGCGTTGCTGGCGAATGGTATGACCCGTGCTACCACCAGCTCTGCGACACGGTGGCCAATGTGAACCTGACCGCGTGGGAATGGAACACCAAGGTAGGATTACTACAGTAGTTATACTTATGCGGATCATTCCTTTGCTGATTAGTGTGATTCAAAACAGCTCGTTGCCCACTCTATTGCGACTTACGCCAAATCCTTCGACGGATTCCCGGAGCGGTCCGATGAACCTATCAGTCCGCTTGCCTATGAGGAACCGAAGTACCATGGCCACTACCTGCAGTTGTAAGATTCATGTACCCCTAAGCTTGATAGTGGGGTAATATCTGTAGCGGGGACCCTTTTTGTCCTGAGGCTAAGTCAGATTGGAAATTATGAGATGAACGAATAGACTGTCACTTTTCATGTAGACCATCACCCGGGAAAGTCTGTTGTATCATGTAAACGTTCGTTAGAAGATTGTCTGTTCAGGAACGCATGTACTTGTGGGGAAACGGTTCGGGACTTGCCTTGAATGGTTCCAACTTTCCTCCATCCTTCTCCTCTGGCACCCTCATACCGATCTCTGTTAATCTGATCTTATCTGTAGCATTTGCAATGATGTTACGAGGGACCAGAGTGTCTAGCAATGAGATGATAAACAGAATGTAAGCGCTGCATCGCCGCTCAATCTATTTCCCAAACATCACGTAGACATCTTCAATCTAAGCTAAAAGGAGGAATGATTCAGAGACATAGTAAATGCCGATTCTTAATTTACCTACGATTCGTGCAATAACAGCTCACTGCCCTATACCATGATATACCATGATATATTGCCCTCTCCCCCTCCGGGAAGAGATCGACAATTCCGGGACCGCCATGAAACGTTGGTGGGCCTCGGAGTGTCGAGGATTGACACTAGGGCCACGCTAGAACCCTCAGGGTCTGCAAACTACTCTACGGGGTGACTCCGAACAGGGCGTGAAACGGAAGTTCCTCCGAAATTGTCGCGAAAGTGTCTGTAGAGTAGTGATCGAGACCATCATGCGATCCCAGAACAATTAACCATTCTTATTTGGCACTTCTGAACGTGGAGTGGAGTCATCCCCTTTGTTGAAACAACACGGCCATGTTTCCTTGCCGTCCAATCCGCTCCCTATAAAGCCAGCGTAGATCCGGTTTGGAAAATGAGATAAACGGCTCCTATCTCGTCTGTCAAAGTCCATTGTCATACGCTATCACGGATTACCCGTCTCATCAGAATGCGCGGAATTGAAGCTCTTGCCTTCCTGGCCGCCATCGGTGCTGCTCACGGCCAGAGCACGGTCGGATTTGGCCCGTATTTCTCTCTGGGCCCTACCCAGTCGTGGATTAGAGAGGCCAACACCACTCTGGTTCTGCCCGAGGCTCCTAGCCCTCAGAAGGACCGTCTTGCTCTCTGGCCCGGTATGGGTACAAGCGGTGGTGATCTGATCCAGGCTCTCGCTGTTTCTTTCTCCGACCCCAACTCGTAAGTAGATAAGAGACCAATAGTATGCCCTTTCGGAATCATTCTGATAAACTATTGCAGCAACTGTGGTGCCAGCTCTGGACAGTGGTGTACCTGGGCTAGTACCCTTGAGGGTGAGTCATCATATAGCTTTATCATAAAAGTACTACTGGTCAAGCTAACTTCGTGATAGGCACGCAATTGGGTGGCAAGGAAGTTCCGGCTTCTGCTGGTGACAAGGTGACCATGCACTGTAGGTATACTGTCTGCTGCTCTCCTCAAATATCCATACTAATCTCGATTCACCTATAAGACAAGTATAACGACAGCACGGGCAAGTACGACCAGACCGTCTCGATCAACGGCGAGGTCGTCTCGACTCTTTCAACCAGTACGTTTTCCACTCTTTTGCATTCAAGCTCCACTTGTATACTGACAAATATCAGGCTCGGGACAAGCCCAGGGCTGGGGCACTGCAGTTGAGTGCCAGGACGATGCGTGCCAGAGCACTGCGGGAGCTCACAGTAAGTTCCCTAACCATCTTCCGGAAAAAAAGGGCAAGATTAACAAAGAAAAACAGAGTACCTTGACACCACTATCATCCTTAACGCCGAGGACAACTCTTTCGGCGACACCCTGTCCATCAACGAGGCCAGCTCCTCCGGACTGTCGACCTCGGATAACGGCAAGACTTGGATTGTGTCGACCATCAACATCAACTCTCACACATACAACCTGTGAGGTTGGTATCAGTCTTGTATAGTATATTCTGGGGATAGCGAAGCTCTAGGAGTCTTCCCTTACAAAATTGATTGTACATAACTACGGAACATGCACCGCCTTTCACCTTCTTAGAATCGTCCATGACACTGATACAACATGTTCATTGAAACATCATAGTAACTAGTGACAGACAGCGTTATCATGCTCAGGAACATTGGCATTCCATAACTCGTGAGGCGGGTTCTTAGAAAAACTTGTTAACCTCCTGGTTAATTCCCTGGTTAACAGCACCATCCATTCCACCAGGGACATACTGGTCAACCTTCTGGTCAACCATAGAGTCGACAAAGTTGCCTCCAGAGTTACCACCCTGTCCCCCATTGTTAGAGCCTCCCTGGTTGTTGTTTCCACCATGGCTGCCGAGGAAGCCTATAAGGAAGGTTATTGTCAGCCACCGTCCTCAATTCCAGTCAATCATGTCGCGATTGATAGGGAAACAAACCTTCTGCCTTGTTCACCAAGCCCCCAAGCCCACCAGAGGAGCCACCGGAGGAGCCACCGAAGGAGTCATTTCCACCACCAGATCCTCCGAAGTTGTCTTGGTTGCCTCTTCCTCCGCCAAACCCAGAGTCATTACCGCCGAAGCCAGAGTTGCCAGAGCTGTTACCCCCGAATCCAGAGTCGTTACCCCCGAATCCAGAGTCGTTACCCCCGAATCCAGAATCATTCCCACCGTGTCTGGAGTCGTTGCCTCCGAACCCAGAGCCACCCCCACCAAATTGAGAGTCGTTACCGCCAAAGTTGTTGTTGTCGCGACTATTTCCACCACCAAACCCAGAGTCGTCGCCTCCATAGCTGTTACCACCACCGTTACCTCCAAAGCCGGAGTCACCTCCGCGGCCACCACCGCCAAAGCTAGAATCATTGCCTCCGAATCCAGAGTTACCTCCGCCGAACTGGGAGTCACTACCGCCGAAGCCAGAGTTGTTGCCTCCGAAGCTGTCACCACCACCGCGACGGTCACCACCAAAGTTGTCTTGACCGTAGGAGTCCATGGTGTCTATTGAGCAAAGAAAGTGTGTTGATATGATGATATAATGTGAAGGATTTTCTGGGTATCAATTGAGTGTAACGATCACAGAAACCGAGACGAAAAGAAAGAGAAACGGAAAGGTAGGAACATCCAGCTTTAACACCTCAGTCCCAACAGCAGAAGCAAATTGACCCCTCTATTCAACACCACGAGCTTGCGCCATTTTTTCGCCACACAATCCCAGCCTTTCCAGCCCTCAGCCATCAGCCCTCTTTTCTGAGACACCCCTAATCCCAAACTAGTGGCGCAATCCATGCATATGATGTCAAGCGCACACTAGTGAAGGAGCTAAGATGCGCCTTAGGGATCTCGATTTCAAATCACGATGCGAGATCTCGTCGATAATGACGCTAAGCTCCAGGGCGAGTCAGCTCGGGGACCATTCAATTCCGAGGGGATCCGATCATTTGTGATAAGACTGGGTTCGGGTGGGTTGTAGTGTGGCGATTTTGCTTTTGATCGCGATACGGTGTGAGTTCAACCAAGTGCATAAGTGTTCAAACACCCTCTTCGCACTATTTTTCCTTCAAAAAGTGCTTTGGAGGTTCTATTCGTGGCCTTATCTGGTTCATTGTGCACCCTGAGTATGTGCCACGTTTGTGTTCAATGTCGACAGCACTAAGATTAGGCACAGCACCACCAACCAACCAAAAGCCCTACCCGTCCCACACCACCAAACCAAGCTTTGGGACAAGCTTCCCTTGACCCGTAGAGGCACTAAGAACTGTGCCCTGAGCCCTGGATCCCTGATGGGTCCGCCCGACCAGATCCCGATGGGCTTGACTGCTCAGCGTGGTTTGAGCTCTCGAAGGGGGTTCTCTGGATCATACCGGATCTGACAATCTTCGCGATCACAATAAAGACATTATAGTAAAACAAAATAATCGGAAAGTCTATAAACACCTCAATCTTTAATCATGCCAAATTATCTTCAAATCACGTTAGGCTGCAATACCGATTCCTAATTGAGCCGGTGTCCTTACCTTCTTTCTCACCGAGAGGTCAGCACTTTTTTCCGGAAATTGACCACGGGATCGGATCTCACTTTCTGAAATATATTAACTAATATCATTGGCCGGGGCTGATATTTCCGGCAAAGATGTCCGTCTGCTAGAGTTGGGCTCGGAGTTACTGAAGCAGTTGCTTTTTTTATCGGCTAGTATGGGATATTTGAGATAGTCTGTAGGAAAAGAAATTATCCTCATCTAGTGATTGTTAATGTCTTTGTGGTAATTAGACGCACTGGTCGATGATGATAGTTAAAACTGTGACGTAAAGCACATTTACTAGAAGCTATACCATATCGTTTGGTCGACGTAGTATGCCGTTCAGTTAGGAAAGATGAAGATATGTACTGTGTCCTGAGACTATCCCTGACTCTAAATTGTGTCCAAATAACCCGCTATAAGATACATGGGAATCAAAACAAAAAAAGACATCGATCAAAACGCACACGTAACATACACCGTGATTTGTCGCATCGGGTGTAGCTCAAGCATGGTCAGAAGCTTCAACAACACAGCAGCTTATCAGAGGAGAACACAGTCCATTAGACATCTTTGGATATGTCTTCTTGACCTTAGAAGCCTCAGCTTGGGCAACTTTATCCACCCGAGATATTACCTCACTGATCGTTTCCGGCTGTACAGCAGGATTCATAGCACACATTCGAAGTGTAGTCCGCCCACGAATCTGGGTAGTTAATATAGAAGCGATATTCTCTGCCACGAGTCGTTGTGAAATAGCACTGTTCAATGAGTCTAGCTCCTCTTCACTAAACCCAGGAGGTGCGTATCGGAAAACCACAATGCTGGCAACTGTTGGCACCGGAATAATCCAGTTCTTGCACTGCCGGATACTATGATCCGCTGTACGGGTAAGAAGAAAACCCTGATCAATCATCTCACCCACACGACGGCGACCTAGAACCTTGAGAGTGAGCCACAGAGACATTGCACGCGCGGGGCGACTTAGCTCTGGACCGAGTTTGTAGAAATTGGTCGTGGCCTGCGGTTCCAATGGACCGGTGATGTATTCGGCATCGAAGGAGAAGCTGCGTGCGAGAGAGTTAACGTGCCGCGTGAGCACAATTCCGCAACCATATGTCTGGAAGAGCCACTTGTGACCATCCCAGGAGACGCTATCCGCGCGACCGATGCCATCAACGAGGTGGCGATGCTTGTCGGATAGTGCGATAGATGCACCATACGCACCGTCTACGTGGAGCCATAGGCCCTCATCACGCGCGATGTCGGCTAATGCGTTGAGAGGATCGATGCTGCCAGTGTTGGTGCTGCCGCAATTGGCGACCAGGAGAAAAGGAACGCGTCCGAATAGGCGATCTGTTTTGATGGCATGTCTTAGGATATTGACATCCATGCAACAGTTATCATCTGTTGGTATTTTATGGACCTGGTAGTCCATGAAGCCGGCAATATGTAGGGCTTTCATCACGGAGAGGTGTGTCTGGTCGGACATGTAGATGGTGGCGTTTGCTCGCTGCAAGGGCTGGAGTCTCTCATCGCGGGCTGCAACTATGGCTGTCATGTTTGCCATTGACCCACCCGAGACAAAGCACCCTCCCATTGAATCAGGCAGTCCCAGTTGAGAGCCTAGCCAGTGGATCATGGCCTTTTCAACCTCACTCGGACCAGAGCTTGCATCCCAGTTGGCAGCGTTTACATTCCAGATAGAAGTGAGAAGATCACCCAGACGAGTAATGGGGGCTGGGCAGGCTGGTATATAAGCAAAGTTATGTGGGTGGGTGTGGTGTACATGGTATTCAAAGAGCTTCATGGCTTGTTGAAGGGTAGAGACTGGATCCCGAGGATGATCATCCGGCATGATCTTATCCTGCAGGCTTGGTAGCTCACTGGAATCAAGTACCGGAAGGATGGGGTCTGATGGAGGTGGAAGGTCGGTTGTGAGGAGTTGATTCAATAGAGACCTCGCTAGCAACATGACATCGGTCCATCCTTCATCTGATTGGTCTTGGGGTGCATTGAAATGCATATTGTCAAGTTTGAAAAAGTGATCACTTCAGGGGATGGCGAGGCAACAAAGAGGCGAAGATTGTGTCTAGGTGGCTGTAAACATACTCGGAACACGGTGGCAGTTATGTGGCTTTATAAAGTGTGGCCGGGTCAATGTGCGCAAAAGGCTCTGAGCTGTATCGCAAAGTGATTAGGGAACGAAACTCTTCTGAGATCCACTAGATCGCAATGATCGTAGGTAAGCAAGATCAAGTAACACGGAGTTAACCAGACTCAGGTCGATAGAAAAAATAAATGTTGAGATCCGGCACTCCCAAGCTGACGAGTTTTCAGCTCCACAAAAGCAACATGAGGGACTGGTGTATCTAGCTCGCTGCGTATCCAAAGGTTCGCATAAGATTTCCCTCACGGGGCATATAGTCGCATAGTCTCTCTGTGCTGCGTCTGCCGATCTTTATGAACATATGATGTCCGAGACTGATCAGACAAGTCATTACTATAGACTATATACTATGTCTACTGTAGTAGTTAGCTGTTCATATTTGCTGTGAGCGGCAAGACGGATGCATCCGAGCGTGTAGTATGTAATGCCGTTGTGTGGCTGGGCGGGTATTTTGAAGCCTGCCTGTGGAGGAGTCATGCTTAGTGGACTGTGTAGCTGAACAATTTGACATGTCGTCTAGCCGCGGTTGCAATACCCTTTTCGACGATTCATGCCAATCAACGCAAATAGTTAATGTGTCGAGGTTGACGTATGTAGATCTCTTGCTAATAGCGGTGTGGCCCTAGAAAGGTTGCCGGTGACTGAATAAGTCACTTGTGCATGGGTGGCCGCCTCGTGACACTTGCCCTTTCAGCCGGGTAGACAGCTGAATTGGGATGTTACACAGGATTCCATGCAGTTGACGGAGTAAGTGATGGATTCCCATTGGCCAAGAAGCTTGCAGAGTTCTACATAAAACCCAGTAGTGTGGTTTCTCCGCTATTAGGGGGGAGACAAGAAGCTTTGAATGTAAAGATGGATGTCATTAAATTGTAGCTGGAATTGACCTTTCGCTGACCACAAGTTTGTCATTCAAGTCCCTTCAGCCACCTCACCCTACAGCAACAGCCAGTCTGTACGGAGACTGGAAGGGCGACCGAGCATCAGTTCTACGCTGACGCTATTGCTGGATTGGCTGTTTAGTTGTGGGAATAACCAGAGAAATAACTCAAAACAACGGGCACGAACGGGGTCTGAATATGTGTATGTGATCTATGTAGATCTCAAGAGTATAGTTGGTCAGACGTAAGACCACGTAGACAGCAGAGATGGCGAATAATCAGGTAGTGCCTGGTTGAAGTGAATACTTCATTGAACTATTTCTTTTTACTTTTCTTTTCTTTCCCTTGACCAGAGACAACATCACGGAGTTCCAACCAGTCTCCAGGTTTCTCGTATCATCACACGATATTTTACATGTATTTGCCCCTCGCTCATCATACTGACACTCATGGGAACTGGTCGTATTTCCCAATGCCGCGACACGGTCCGTCAATCTCAACACGATCCACCTGCTGAACCGCCTTGCCATCAGCCCCGAAGCGAAGCACCTTGCCACCAGAGGCAATCGAGGAATTAACAAGCTCCCATCCGAGCAACTGCGGTCCGTTCAGCGGATCCTTCAGGAAGGCGGGGATGTGATCTTGCATAGTTTGACGGACTTCTGGTGCTATTCCCCAGGTACTCATGGATAGGATAGGAGCCAAAGTTCATTGGTAAATCACTCGCTTGGTAAGCGCCAAGCCATTGAAATGGGTTCAGACTGGGGTACTGTCCGGCATTCTGGCAGCGGTACACCGGAATGTTCTGCTGGTTGCGGAGAAGCGTCGAGTTAGCCGTGGGGCAAATTCAGTCGGTCAAATCACCTTCCAATTCGGCAGCCGGGTCCGGACCAGCAGTCGAATTGTTCACGGGGTATGTGACCAGAGACGCATATTCGTTGACACAATTGGAGGTAATTGTAGGGCGATGTGTAACCTTCCCTGCGGCCGAGCGGGCAGAACAATCATTAAAAACGAAGTGCTCGTCAGGCACGACGCTAAAACTCAGAGCAGGTTCAGTGCCATTGTCTGAGTACTGGCCGATTTAATTGGAGGTTTGCGCATCTTACCCATTACTTTCTCACATAAATACTCAACAAATCCGTCCCTTTGCCGCTGCGATACGACCGTGTAGGCCTCAGGTACTGCGCTCGCCGGAACTGTCCCTTCAACTTAGCAGCTTCTGCGTCGTCTTCTTCCTCTTTAGCAATATTACAGATCCCATCACCGCCGCGTGCGAGCAGATCCCAGTGAACGCCCTTCAGTCCCCACGGTGGTCCTGGCAAGGAAGGGTCCTTGTACATGGGAAATTCAAGACAGGCAAGAAGACCTCCCGGATGGAGAAGGTGGCTCATACGCTCGGCCCATTTCTGACGGAGAGAGGGGTGGATAGCACATAGAAACTGTTAATTGCGTAAGTCACACTGCTCTGTGTCCGGTATTGCATTAAAGCATGCAGTAAGGGTGTCCACATACAGTATAATCATAGACCAAGTCAAACTTCTCACCATCACGCAGAGTTTCACTCTCCCACTCTGAGCTGAAGAAGTCGCCGGCAACAAATTTAACATTCCCTATATCGGCAGTTGTCGCAGTTCCAGAGGAGAAATTGTACCCCTGTGGACTCTGCATCTCCGAAGCGGCATACTTCCTCGCCTCCGAAACGCCAGTTGCGGATATATCGAGGCCGTAGACGTCGAAACCATGCAGTGCTAGCATGACGGGGTCGTAGCCTTTTCCGCAGCCCTGCAGGAATATCATAGATAGTTAGTGACTTCGAAGTAGATGTTTCGCAGTAGTTCCGCGAATATCCGGTGGGTTTATTGGCTCGTTGAAAGGGGGAAATGCTACCGGAACGAGGGCTCTCTTTCTCCGTCTATCGGGGGTAAAGGGGGAGAAGACATCGGTCTGCTGCTCTACTACATCGACTAGTGCAATTGAGGGACTCCCTCTATCCCAGAGATCGCTTTCATTGGAGTCCCAGAGTGCGGCCCAGCCTGAGCCTTGGTCTTCCGCTGACCTGGTGTAAGTTAGATAGGTTCTAGTCGGGTCTCCAAAGCAAGTAACTTATGATCGAACCTTTCAGCAAAATGGCTGATGAGGCGGCCTTGAACAGGGGGGTTAGGCGTGCGGGCCATTTTATGCGAAGGAATCTATCTTATTCGTGATGGCTGAAATTTCTGACAGATTGTGAGATGCGTCACGGATGGAAAGTCAAATTGTGGGGTGATTAAGAATGGTTCCCGGTTGGCGACGGAGCGGGTCTCCTCCAAAGGAAGTCAGATGGTTCTCGTCCGTTTGCTGCTCTACGTATGATTCCAATCCTAATTCCCACGGACATGAAGAGAAGGTGTTGGACCCTGAAGCATTGAAGCAAATTAGTCGGCGATTGAAACAGTGCCCCGCTCTAACGCTGAATGCGGAGGGGGTTGACGCCAATGATACCAGCGATTGTATGTCGAGCTGTTTGTCATCAACACTGTAACCCCTGTGTGGTCGCTCGCGTCTTTAGATGTCCACTGGCATCTCGTCTGACGTGAGAAATAGTATAGCAGTATGCTTCATGAATCTATACCCCCGACTAGCTCCGTTTCATGGCACGGTCTGTTGCGACCGTGTATCTCCGACTACACCACCTGTCCGGGTCACAGAGGACTGAGGGACCTCGACCCGACCTACAGAGGCACAAGGCAAATCTCATGTCATCAGCATTGCATGGAATTCATCATTACTGACTGATGGTCTAGACACTCTCTAGTGGGGTCTTTTCATATCCGCCCTCCCGTTTAGTCGGTAAGATGATATCGATACTGTGCGCTCAGCAAAACCCACTAGAAATCCTTCAGATGAACTAGAACTGCTACGGTATTTCACGTGCATATTTAATCTCGGCATGTTATCGGCCGAACTGTATGCCTTTAGTGATTGATACCAGAGGCTTTTTTCGCCGGGGTACGGACGGTGTTTGCTGGTATCCCGCCATGGCATTCTGTGCACTTTGGCGGAGCAAAAGCATAACCATGCAACAAGAATAGGCTGTCGGAGCATAGCCCACCGGGTCAGCTCGGGCGAATGTCTTACCTCGAGCCATTTGATTGTCCGAATTTGGGCTTGAAACTCCAAAGTGATCTTTGACGGTGCTTCATGCACCTCGATGATCATCGCCAGTGCCATCGATTGGCTTTGCACGCTAGACTACATTACAGAGTACTGTGTAGGGTAAGGTCATACATACCCTGGTGGGGCAGGTGTGAAGACTCTATGCATCAGACATCTGGCAATAATCATGTCGTCTCTGAGCAAGATGGCTTGCTTGCTCGAGAGTGTCTAGAACGGCACTAAGACGTCTGATAGAACATCGTTATGGCCCGATTACTCTTGCACCGGTACAAGGGGCGTTCACCATCTCTCCCAGCTGTGCCAGACTTCAGATAAAAATAAGCACTGTAGGTGCGGCTAGCAACCCTCGGTGCCCGTGTCACATCTGGCACCCAAGGGCAGCCGTATCTTTACGATTGCTCCGATCAGCATGCCCCAGCGAATCGATGGAAGGTAGATCACCGACCCCAGGCTCATGTCTCAGAATTGCGAAAATATGCGATGCCCCTGAACCTAGTGGTTCCCGAGCATATGTGCGACCGGCCAATCTTTGACTAATACTTGGCTTATCCTCGTTACACCATAGGCTTACTCGAGTCCCGATATTGGGTAACTTCATGCTCTTGAGAGACTTTGGCCTTGGCACAAGTGGTGAGACATCGAGTAGACAATGCATGTGGGAGTGTGTGTTGAGGAAAAATGCGCTCTGTGTACAAGCTTGACCCACTGTCAGCATGCATTGTCGACTAGGAGTCCGCGTGGTCGGCCACGAGGCCTGGGATGCACATGAAGGCGTCGCTGAGTATTCTCCTCTTCGAGTCGCATCCCCGCTGGTGCAGGGGTAACTTTTGGCCCCCAAATTGCCGATACTATGCAAAAATTGACCAGGTTGCTTTGACCACATTGATTGGGCCCTGGAGAAACACCGAGGACAGCAATGGGTTCCCTTGAAGGGATAAGCGACGCCAATCGCTGCTGTTCAGGGATTAATCTGCGGATGGACAACTCCTTCCCGTTAGCTTAAGACCCGCCCATCTCCACCAGAAATTCCTTCGCGTCACGCTCGCTTGCTCTCGTCCTTCAGCCGTCAGCGCCTGTCAGCACCGATGCCCTCGACTTCCCCCACAGCGGCCCCTCGCGGCCTATCGCCGACGGGCCCTCAAGCCGCTAAAATTCACGTTAATTGATCCAGAGCCACGCTGCCCTCCTTGTTCCACTGCAGTTGACGAAGCCTATTGCTCCTCGGCCCCCAAGCATCAGAATTCCTGCTGAGGGCTTACTATAGACATCCCTTGGACGGAGGATGTTATCTATGTCTCAGAATGTGCGCCGGTCGCGACTTTCTTGCTCGAATCAGAAGTGCATCAGGCCATTACGGACATGATGGTTTTACAATCCTGATTGTACTTTTGGCCCCCACGCGGAGATAATTCACGTTTTGTGGATGGTCTTTGCTGAATCAAGACCCTGCGTCTAGGCCTGACAGCTCATGCAGCATGCCAATCGTAATATCCTGTTATCGCACTTGTACGCTCCGGGCCCTTGGCGAGAGACTCCATCCTGCTTTGCAGGCTATCTCTAGTGTTTCATTCTCATTTGTGACTCGCTGGTCGGAATATGTATCCCCTGCGTCTGCACTAATGCATCATTGGCCGACAAAAGATCCGTCATGGCCCAGCATGCGGAGGGGTTCATTAACCACGAAGATCCGCGCAAACACCTTCTAGCGGGAGGTGTTCGTTGCGTTCTTTCATCTCGAGCAAACTGATTTGGCGTCGATTTCCTCACTCATATAGCACGTGGGAATCCCAGACATACTGGTGCACTAATCATGGCACCGTTACCGGAGGGCGAAGTGAGTGGCTGGGTGGACTCGCCCAACGATCGGGGTACCATCGATATTATCTGGGGCTGTTGTTTGGTGCTCTCCACCGCTCTCTGGACAGTTCTGCATCTGAACATTCCGGCCCCTGACGATGGCCTTTGGACGGTTCTGTGGCGCAAGCTTCGCTGGGGAACATTTGCTATCCTGGCCCCCGACATGCTGGTAGGCTTCTCCGCCATGCAGTACGAGTCAGCCCAGGAATCGGTGCGCGACATGCACCGCCTGGGCTACAAAGAATGGACCCTCAAACACGCTTTCTACGCCAATAGCGGAGGCTTCGTCCTTCAGTCGACAGACTACCCTCCCTTCCCCATTACCGCCGCCTCAATTCACTACCTCGTTGAGACACACCACATCGACTGCCCTACAATCACAGCGGAGGAGATCTGGGATAAAAGCAAGGCAGATACGTTCGCTAAATGCGTTGCATTAGTGCAAGGGGTATGGCTCGTGGTCCAATCCATCGCCCGGGCCGTACAAGGCCTCGCTGTCTCCCCGCTTGAGCTCTTCACCATTGCATTCGTGTTATCTACGATTACGACCTACTACTTCTGGATGCATAAGCCACAGAGTGTTGGGGTGCCGACTGTTATCGAACTCAAGAGCGGATCAGTCACCAGCTTGATCAACAGTGCCGGGGAGATCGGCGTTGAGCCCTTCCGCGAGACACCACTTGATTTCCTGGAAAAGCCGCACCAGCGGTGGCATCGCCGACCGACCCTCGAGAATCTCCGCCCGCAGAAAAGCCCCCTACAGCGTATGCCAGATGACAAAATCGTGTTCAATGGCCTGAGTCAACGCACCTGGCTACTGGTATCGATCCAGGCCATGGTACATCCCGCTGTCCACTTGCTGGGCTGGAACCATGTGTTCCCGACGAGCACTGAACAGCTGATGTGGCGCATCATGAGCGTCTTCCTAGCTTCTGGCCTTCCGTTGTCGAGCATGCTGCGCATAACTCTGACCGCGTTAGGTTTTGACGGTCACCAGTCCCTGACATGGATATGGGTCCAACCTACCGGCAAGGAAGAGAAAGGATGGCGTGCTTGGGTGCTGGACGTTGTCATGTCTTTTATCAGTGCCTGCCTGGTTCCGGCCCGCTTGTTTATTATCGTTGAGGCTTTCATTAGCCTGCGACAGCTCCCATCGAGTTCTTATGTGACCGTTGAGTGGACGAGTTTCATCCCGCATGTCTGAACTGCTCGAACGAAGAAACTCGTACTTCTTTTTTTCTCCGGAGCAGAACTCTTCCGCTAAACACCGGTGGAAGGTCACAGACCGGTGACTCTTCGTCGCTCCTTGCAGCTCTCCAACTGCGATTGGTTGAGGCACTCAATGGACACCAAGCGGCGGGAAATGCACTATCCATTCACGTCGCCATGCATAGCCGCTCTCTAGGGAGCGATAAGCCTGCCTTGTCTCTTGTAAAAGCGCGGCACGTCATCGACCTACTTTAGGAATAAACTCCGCCTGGCATACTGAGCATCAGGCCACTCTGTCCAAGTGAGCACAGACAAGCGCAGCCCTAGTCTGTCTTCCCCCGCATTTCCCCCGCAAATCAAGGCACATCCGTGGGGGCATCATCTGGGGGAGGAGAGATCGGAGCCAAGCGAGCCAATCGTTCACTCTATTCCGTTCAGATCGGCGTGGGGGCGGGATTCCGTTGGCTGTCTTCTCTTGTGCGCCTTCGTCTAACTTCATACCCGGGGAATGCTGGGCTATGGGCACAACCTCGGCTCAGCATATTTATATTCACATATCGCCTCACTATCAGTCCTTCCGGGTTGTCACCTGTCTCAAGAGATAATGCTAATGATCCATCATGTTTGGCTTCGACATCGAATTTCGCCGTCACCGGTGGGCCTTGATCTACTGCTCCATCTCCGCCATCGGCGCCCTGGTGTTTGGTTATGACAACACATACTATAGCGGGATTTTAGGCATGCAAGAATTCAAGAATGACTACGGCGATCACTATGAGGATGGTGCGAAAGCATTAGCGACGAGCTTTACGTCGCTGACTACCTCCAGCATCTACATCGGGGATATGCTGGGTGCACTCATTGCAGGGCCCCTCAATGATCGCTTTGGTCGGAAAACGGTTCTCTGGATTGCTTCGGCGTTTGTGCTTGCTGGAGGGGTGACCCAGGTTGCAGACACGCACATTGAGGGCGTTATCGTACTTGGCCGCATTCTAATCGGGCTTGGAGTGGGCAACTTTACTGTTACATCGCTGCTCTAGTGAGTGCTGTCGTGTCATTTGTACATATTTCAATCAACTCACTGACCCTTCCATAGTATCGGAGAAGTCGCACCAATGGAGATCCGAAGTCCAGCATTGTACATGTACCAGTTCCTGCAATCCTGCTCGCAGCTAGTCGCCTCCGGCCTCACCCAAGGCACCAATTCCATCCACTCGTCTTTATCCTACAAACTACCCATGGGTGGACTCGTCATACTGCCTCTCTTCATGCTCTTCTTCTTACCCTTCATTCCCGAAACCCCAACGTGGTACGTCTTCCACAACAGAGAAGAAGACGCCAAACGCGCTCTCCTCAAGATCAACCGCAACGACCGCACCTACGACCCCACAGCCGACCTAGCCTTCCTCAAGCAAGCCAAACGCTACGAAGAAACCGAAGGCGAAGAATCCTCCTGGCTCGCCCTCCTCCTCGACCCCATCGAACGCAAGAAGCTAATCTGGGCCTCGGGCGGCATGTACGCGCAACAAATCTGCGGCATAATCTTCTTCTACAACTACGGGGTCGTATTCGCCGAAGCCCTCGGCGTCTCGCAACCCTTCACCATCACCCTCATCACGATGATTCTACAAATCTTCGCCGTCGCCGCGTCCATCCTAACAGGAAACCGTCTCCGCCGACGCACCAACCTCCTCGCCAGCACCACACTCATCCTCATCGCCTTCATCATCATCGGCGGCATCGGCACCCAATCCACCCTCACCACCGCATCCAAGTACATCATCGTCGTCTTCTCCTACGTCGTCATTTGCGCATACAACTTTGGCCTCGGCCCACTTACTTACGCCGTATCCCGCGAGCTGTCGGTCGGCGTGAACCAGAACAAAATCATGTCAGTATCGATCGTGGCACTGTATTTCTTCCTCTGGGTGATCTCCTTCACGGCGCCATATCTGTACTACGACGCTGGGCTTGGTCCGATGGTCGGGTTCGTGTATGCGGGTACGACGCTGACGTCGCTGATTTGGGTGTGGTTTTGTGTGGGTGAGACACAGGGGCGGACGAGGATGGAGGTCGCCATGTTTTTTACGGAGGGGGTTCCAGCACGGAGGTGGAGGACGCATGTTTTCGCGAATAGGGGAGGAGATGAGAAGGAGGATGTTAGGGCCGAGCATGTGGAGGATAATGCTTAGCAGCTACGTGGATGCGCTGGACGAGGATGATGATGGGAGTGTATGTTCTTATTCAGGGATAGGCAATATTATCAAGTTGTCCGAATTTTTTACATACATGTTGTTCCTGGTATTAAGCACACGTTATGTGATTCCTCGGATGACAGTCTTTGCAGGGCAGGGAGTACGATCGTCTGTAAGGACCTTTACACGCACCCTTCGTATATCATACCATAATCATCCTCCTCATCGTCAACATCCATTTACCAGGACAGGGCGAAATCAAGACCCAAGCACATCAGAAAAATGAGCTGATCGATTCTGTAGTGCAATCATAAATCCCTCACATCTTCATGACGATTCTCGTGGTCGTTAAGCTACGCCAGTCAGCTGGTGGGGTTACGGCCAAGTGTGAAGAAATAAGGTGTATTGATTCTCCGCTACCACCTGATCTAGATCTCAATGAGGAAGCTAAATCCAGTACATATGATAGCTAGGCTCAATCGGATGCAACCGCATCGTGTTCATGGACGCGAGGGGGAAGGCTGGCCTTGGCGAACGCTAACTATAGGATGTGAATGAGTGGGATGAACGAGGAAGAGAAGTTTATTCGGTGGGTGCATCTGGCACATGTCACATTTCCTAGGGCTAACCCACGGTAGGAGTGAAACAACAAGGCTAAAATTAGGTACATGTGCAGGAAATTATGATTTATTTGTTGACGCTATGTTGAATAGAGTCGTCTGAGATGTTTTTCTCCACTGACTGGTTTCCTCCTCACCCCGCGTTGGTAATCTTATCATCGGTCTACAACACCACCGTCCCTAGAATGTCCACTAACAATTATACACCAAGCTAAACCCAATCGGCTGAACTCCTCCAATAGAGTTCTGGAAGTTCACAGTTCCGGGCGTAGTCTGCCACGTTGACTGCAACGCCAGGAAGCTCATTACATTCGAGCACGTATTCGACGCAAGGATCGTATGGAACGGGGATGTCGTTGGCGAAGTTGGGAACTGGAACGTCGACACCATCTCCCGCCTAGTAGGCTGGTTGTTCCAGGTAGGAGGGGAGGTCAAGTCCCAGGGGTTGGTAGTCCAGATGTCAGCTTGGCTGGAGCCCGTAGCAATGGGCTGAGCTAGGGCCGGGATGTCGATGGCGAGCATACAACCTGTGGCGTCGTTGGGGATTCCGGTGAAGGTGAGGGCGGAGATCTTGGTGTTTGTGGTGGCTGTTCTGGCGAGGGAGAACTGCTGTCCGGTGCTTGGGGTGTTGGGGTTTGCGCTGTCGAGGACGTCGATGGCTGTTGGGGCGATGGTGGTGCAGGCGCGGGGGATGAGGTTCGCGGGTGTGGGGGAGGTGGATGCCACGGAGGCAAGGAGAGTGAGTGCAGTGATGGGACTGAGAAACTTCATTTTGAGAATGGGTATGTTATTCTGATTGCAAGATAGTCTTGAGGCAAGAATGTGGCCGAATGAGACAAGGAGATTGCTCTTTGGATGTGATTTCAAAGCAGAGGCTGCGTCCGGAAGATGCTTGTATTTATATTTCTGGTTCTGCAACTTCATTCAAGCTGTAGTCCAGTCGGTGAGCCATTTGATCACTCATGAAGTGGTAATAAATAGCTAGTAGCCGCATTTTGGAGCGGCTGCAACCTCGTATATCCCAAAGAGGCATTGACGATACGAGGCCAAGGCCGAGTTGCTTCAATAGACGATGTGATCTGTCTGAATACAACTCTGTAAAAGTAAACGAGAGGCATCCTTCACGACTTGACCATCTAGGATAGCTAGGTATGTATTGGACGCCTGAACTAATTCTGAAGCTGGATAATATTCGATCCTCGAGCGGTGTCAGGTGGTACTATACTGCCGCTGTGGTTACACAGCAGACAAGGGGCCTGCCCGGTGCAACACGAACTGGCCAAATTAGATCGACTATGGCATTATGGGCAAGACATTGTGACAGGCGTCCTCGGTTAAGGAGCTGCAGCTGTTATACCTCATGTAACCCTGTTGAGCAGGATGCCTCTAGTGAATCTGGGGTAGCATGATATTTCCTTGCTATGCAGGAATTCCCGGGGTATCAGGTTTGTACATCATTCTTTAGGTGGCCCTCGGTTCCCAAGGTGAACCGTAAATCTAAATAGCAGACAACTTAAAGCCGATACTGCGCCCACGGGAAAATACGAGATCTGGCGATGAACTTCGTGACTGATAAAAAGGCTAGACTTGAGGAAAGTCAGACCCTCCCAGCAGAATGGGTGCACCTTGTACTGTGTCCCGTGCCTCACACTAGGCTTCTTGAGAGCCGCCCTTGCTGCTAAGCCCTGCAGCAGATCCGTCGCACGACATCGTGTGCGATCGCTTACCACCATATTCATCTTCTACCGATTGATCGCCTCATACGGGATAGAGGTTGCTTCACTAGTTATTTATTATCATTTCCATGTTGACAAAAGAATCGTGAAGAAGAAAGCCTGCACCGCCCCAATCAGACTTCGCCTAGTTGTACCGAAAAGCTGTCTCACTTTGGAGGCGGCTTTTCTCTGGTAGTCGTATTCAGCCATCATTGCTCATCGCCTAATGCAATATGCAGAAAGGTTGTTTCCATCACATTCTCATCACGTGGCTTGTTAAAGTTCGGTATTTTGATGCTAGCAAGTCAACATGAGCAACCATACGCCCATGATAGCACGATGTGTTAAACCAGCACCTGACTCAAATGGTACGGAACATCATGAAGCCACGTATACAGAAAGCTTATACCCATTGTGTCTACTGGACTGACTCAAGGGGCGTGACCTGCTAAATCCTTGGGTTGGGATAAGACGTGGTGGAAGTAGATGAAGAGCAACATTTACTGCCTAGAAACTAAGAGAATGGAAAAAAGACTGTACATCCTGTTTACTACGGAGGATTCGATAAGATATTGTATGAACTGATATAGATACTCGACGTAAAAGCTGCAAAGAAGTAGAGAAGAGATACCCTTCAATTAGTACAACCTACCTAAACCCACCCAGATAGAACCCCTCAACACCATCCTAAAAGTAACATACAATGGGCAAGCCCTGAACATCATGATCTCTCAAATCACTCCAACATAGCACCTTCCCCAACTTCACTCGCCCTCTCCACCACCCTCTTGTATCCCCGTTCCCTCTTCAATCTCTCCACATACCCATGCAACAGAGGATACTCGCTCCTCGATAATAACCCCAACGCAAACCCCATAGACACCGGCACACTCAACTGGATATCCGCAAGCGTGAGATCTTTTCCACACATGTACGGCCCCCCATCTGGCGCCGTAGCAAGCTGCTCTTCCAGAAATCCGAAATGAGTCTTGAACTCATTGTCCAGGAACTCAGAACTGACTTTTGATGCGATAAAGTTTGTTATGGGCTTCAGAAAGAATGGAATAGGTGCGTTTTGCAGCGCTATATTTCATCAGTATACCGTCAATATCAAGGATAACCCGTTAAATGGGAAAGAAAGCGGCTCACCGTCAAAAACTAATTTGATCTGCAAAACGCTCATCAAACTCCCCTCCACATAGCTGTCATAAAATTCATGTCGCATCCAAGCCTCCGTTTCACCGCCTAGCTCTTTTTCCTTTCCGGGCTCATATTTTCTAGGAATGAGCTTGGTGCTTGTGGCTTCATCGGCAAAATGCTCAACTAAGTAGTTCATAATCGGGCTTGTCTCGGCCAGAATAATAGGTTTGGAGGTCGGAGAGGGCGGCTGGATAGACACTGTGGGCGATTTGCCAAGAGGGTGAATCTTTTTCAATTCTGCGGGTGCAGTGCCTGTCGGGTTGCGCTTGAAGGGCTGGATGGAGTATTCGAGATTCAGCTCCTCCATTACCCATGCGATGCGTTGGGCGCGGGAGCGCTCGAGCCTGTTGTTTTGTTAGTTAGTGTGTAGGGTATGAGGGGGGTAGGAAGGTATGTACCAGTTAAGGCCGATTTTGGCACCGCGGTTTGCGCTCATTTTGATGCGGTATGTTGATGGTGATTACGTTGTTGTAGGTGCAGTAGTAGATAACTGGAGAAAAGTGAGTTTCCTGTTCCTGGGTAGAGTTAAGGTTATTTATAGTCGATTTCTGCTGACATATAACGCAGTATGTCGTCAGCCTAAGAAGTAGATATGTGGATGGATACTCTTTGTCTCTGAGGGATTTCTATGACTCCTCTGCTTGGTTACTTCCCGCAGGTAATCGCTTTCTTGGTAGGTAAGTCGGGCATCGCCGGCACGATTTACGGGACGGCGTCAGCACTAGTAAATTCTACGGTGAGAGATGCAGAAATTCAACGTATCAGCTGACAGCGGGATGGGCATTGAGCCTGCAGTTACGAGTGTCAGACGCACCCTTCAGTAGCCTCATAGACTTAGCTAAATATAAGATTGATGTCATTCTCATGGTTGCGTTTAAATTAAACCCAAACTCCCGCGCCCTAGCATTGACATCCCCGAATCCCGCATTCAACGCCAACCTAAACCCTAACCTAGACAATTCCCATCAAAACCTTAAACAACGACACCATTCAGTTCGTCCGCCGCAAGCTGTAACAAATCCTCCTGTCCCAACACGTTCTGCGTGTAGCGCGAATTGAACCTCAACACCTTCTTCACCTGATTATACGTATCCACATCCAACACCAACGGCAAGCCACTGACATACCACGACACGCCTTCAGTGCAAGGCGGCGTAGTCAGGGATCCAGAGTATGTGTAAATATCGTTGTTCATGAAATGTCTCGACACACTACTGAAATCCAGCAGTCCAAGCTCGGTGGTGCTTCCCGGTTCGGCGATCTCATTGACGTCTTCAAAGATGGTATTCAACAGGGGTGTGCTGTGATCCTTCGTGGAGGTGAGATCGATGAGAAAGCCCACCACGGCGATGCTTCCATCTGTATTTAGAATTCTTAGTTAGCATGAAGGAAAGTAAGCACAGGAGGGGTTCGTCCCCGTACCTTCGTCCGAAAACACAAAGTGGGCTTCCATGGGGAAATGCTCCTCATCAATCCGGTGCTCAGAAGGCGTATGGAAATGAAACTGCGCCAGGGTGTATGTATTGTTCCCTACAACGAGGGTGCCATTCGTCAAAGGCACTTCGATGGTGGTGCCGAGGTTCTCGAATTCGAGGTCAGAGACCGTAGGGATGTAGAGAGTGACGGTGCTATTGTTGACCTTTGAAATCTCGGAGCTGCCGATCACGATAGGCGACTGGTGTGTTCCTGTTGCGCAAGCAACGTTGGTGCTTGGGTCAAGGCCGTACCAATTCAGGGGGCCTTGCGTGGCGGTGTACCCATAGCTGGGGACGGTTACACGTCGAGCAAGCGGGGTGTTGTGGAAGCAGCTAGCTGCGACGGCTGGGATTAGGGCGAGAAGGGACGTCAGATGCATGGCGATAATAGATGATAATATTATCAGCATATGGTGGAGCTGAGTGTCTGCAGGAAATGGGGACCCTGGGGTCATGGTTAGCCTATATATAGGTCAATATATCAGCAGTTTCTGGTCTGTTGAAGATACAAATTGGTAGACATTAGGACGATCATTCTGGAATGCTGTCCCGGTTACATTGACATCAACATTGAAAGAAAACTACGAATGACTGTGGAGGTAGTATCCGGATTCTTGAGCTTGTTCTACGGAGGTTGGGACAACCATTTAGACTACTTACTTCTTCAAGAGTCTTTGTTACCGGGAGAATGGATTGGTTGCCGTACTCTCCACCCCTGCATGCCATACATTTACTCCGGGGCTGCAGGTATTTGCCCCTTCCCTACCCGTCCCTTGCATGCATGTATTGTAGAATGCTGTGGCACTACCATGAACCGGATTGCAGTTCTGATCAACAGTGGATTTGGCATTGTTGTCTACTTCTCCCCTGGTCAAGTGACAGACGGCCAGGAACGCCAAGCGACGGGAGTTGATAGGACACGGAAATAATCTCCTTCCCTGTAGTCAATTTGATCATTCTTCTGGATTCTCATTAAGGAAACCAAGGAAAGAATTTGTTGATCAATTCTTAAGATACTTCAAGCGGGTTTAGCAGAGAGCTTAAATAGTATCTTAAAAGTCTATATGGCGCTTGGGTAATTAGACCGACTGCAGAAGTAGCAGGATTGTAAAAAGAGGAGTCAATCTGAAGCTGCGGTGGCTGATATTGTATGACAACCAGAAGAACAGAAAGCAGTCAAACAATGAGACCAGAGAGTAAGCTTCAAGACAAGGTCGTGATACTTCGTACTCAACAGCATCTTTACGCACCATCGTTGTTCAGCTGTAGGAATGTTATCTTTTGATTTTCGCATAATTTGAAGGTAACAAAATCAGAATAAGAATGCGTATTCATGCTGTGTCCCGCGTCTGTACTTCAAGCGGTCAGGAGTAGAAGTAGTATAGCATTGGAATATAGCAGTATCGGGTAGCCTAGAAGCGGTAGTAGCCCCGGTATGCACACCCACCAGACCCAGAGTATCAAGTACTAAACATGGATCAATAAGTATTTCGGAGACTTTGGTCCAATGTGTACCCGATACTGGACAACCTGACACCATCCAACTAATCCTCTACACGCTAAAGTTATCTCCGAGCCGTATCCCTGACTCATGCGCCCCCAACTATGCATTTGCCGCCGGCCCCAACCAGCGCCCGGTGTTTCACATGAATTTCTGACGGGCGCATGCGCCAGCGACTGGCTCTTATTCTACGAATGAAAAATCAAGAAGATGGTATAAACATGTCCGCTGACTCCATGCAGAACTCCTTAATTGATTGTACAACAAAACAGGCTGGTTTATACAGTTGCGATGGATCAATACATATGGCACAGCCATTGGTGATGTCGTCTAAAGAAGCAAACCCGCGAATGCGCCCAGCCCAAGGATCGTCATCAAGAACCCGCTGTAGGAGAGACCGCTAGCATCACTGCTGGATACAGAGGCGGAGCTCGAGCTTGAAGAGCCAGCGCTCGAGGACGACGAGCTCGATCCCGAGCTACTGGACGTGTTGGTCGACTTGGATGATGTGGTGGTGTTATAGGCGTCGATACTTGTGTAGTCACCAGTCTTGTCCGTGTAATTGTAGTACTCAGCCGGGGTGTAGTTAATGATGCTGACCGACTCCAGATACATGATGAACGGACCGTCGTCGTAGTCGGTCTCACCACCGGCCCATTCGATGGTTCCCTCGGAGTTGTCGGGGTCACCGCCAGCCCAGATACCGACACGGACGGTCATGGGGGTCTGGGGGTAGTTCTTGCCCTCAACAGCGTCCGCATACTCAAGTGTGCGCACGACCGTACCATCGAGGATCCATTCGGTCTTGCTGGATGTCCAGTTGACTCCATAGGTGTGGTAGGTCTCTTCGGGGGTGGTGACGTTCACGGTGGTGGCACGGTCGTAGGACGTGGTGTTGCCTTTGCCAAAGTAGTTCGTTTGGATTTCCGAGTCCCATGTACTGACTTGCTCCTGGGTAGGGTTAGCATTGGTAGCGTTGAAGTCTGATAGGGCCGTACCCAGTCAATCTCATCCAGGTCGTTGGACTCCATCACACTGGTGCTGACGATACCGGTGCCGTTGGCAGCGCGGAACTTAACCTCCACATAGCCGAAGAAGATGTAGAAGTTGGACTCGATAGTAGGGGCATCGCCCTGCTGGCTGATAACGAATTCAGCACCTTTAGAGGTGCTGTTCACGGAATCGGCGGTGACATTCCACCTATCACGCCAAGACGAACCCTCGGTGAAATTGGTGGTCAGGGACCACTGGTTGAGACCCTTGTCAGGTGGGCAGGTTTCTGATAGTGTGAGTCAATTATATTCTTCTCCGATAAAGTTGTCTGTCACATACTGTTCGTGGGGTTGCAACTCGAGTATGTCTGAGCTGCACTGAGAGGCACTGTGGCAGCGAGGGCAGTCAATGCCCATGACATATATGACTTCATGGTGAAAATCAACGAATAAACTGTTTGAGCGAGTGACTGGAGTATTTGAAACGAGAGAAAGCTGCAACGGACGCTGACAACGAGTGTAAGTAGGTGGAAACGGGATTACCGACTGTATATATGGGACTGAATCATGACCATGGTTGACACGAATACTCAGGGGCAGGCTAGCTAAGGCAGCAGCAAATATTGAGGTTGGCTATAAATTCTCCCTCTTGCTGGGCGCAAGAGCGCTTCCACTGCGTGTGGCCAAGGATGCATAGCCTGGGCAGTGGACTTGGTACATCTCATTGGAGGAGGGAGTGGAGCGGCTGTCTTGGGATGACGGCGTGTTGGCAAGCGGTTGGCTCTGACGCGACAGCAAGTCCACGAGGGATGGGGCCATGCGTCGGCCACAAAGCTTGATGAGAGGCGATGAGATGGCTTGCGCGTCCGCCCAGAAGACGGTTCCTGAACACTTACCCGGCAACAGGCACTTGGCCCGAACGGGAAAAGTGCTGTCGTGGACTGTGGATGCGCATGACGCCTATCAAGACTCAGCCCAGTGCAGCAACGATGAAAGGACCAATTTTCAAAGAATTAGTCTGGTCTATTTTGAAGAATAGTATCAGCTTCTCCAGCAGATTCATTTTGTCTAAACCTCAGTGGCATTATCCTAAGCCGTTGCTGAATCGCGGGAGCGAGCCGAGATTGGAGCGTTATCAGTGGGATGGAAAGATATGATTATGACCATTGATTAAAAGCCAATGGGATCGGCTCCGGAAGATCAGTCAGATAGTTCGGTCCCATTCTCCGCTACTGTATTTAGGTCCGAACCAATTCTCAACCAGTAAACGAGCCCGACGCCATGGAACTGCGGATCCCGTCGTGGCAAATGCGTACGTTTATCTTGCCAACGTATATCTGCGTACCTTGTGACCATCTGTCATATTAGGTTTAAGGCTCAACTTGAGGCCATTCTAGAATCTCCAGTCCGAACCTGAGGGTTAACTTTATGATGGATGTTCTCGGGAATCGGGACGTTCCTGAAATTA